CACTATCCATCACATGCTCAAAATCCAAGCTCAATGAGATAGATAAAAAAGACTAGAAGAATTAGAAGGTTTCCATCAATCTTCTCCTTAGTAGGCAATGGTATCATACCAAAAGGATCTCAAGTGATAGCAACTTAGGTTAATGAAGAGACACTCTTTCTTGCCAATTGAAGTTAAAATCCATGAGAATCTCTCATAGATCAGTGATTTTATAACAATCATGCAATGGAGGCAATGAAGTCACATGTTATGAGTGTGATTATGGGTATCGAAAATCATATGTTAGTAAATTTTTTCAGATTTATTCCCATGATAGTAAGAGATTGATATTGTTTGTCCCCTTTTCAGCCCCTTTTGTTAAGTGTTAGTAAACTAAGTTTAGTATCTATACTTAGCCAAATAAATATAAAGTAGAAACTTTTATGTGTTTGTTGTTGAGCATACTCAGCTTGACTCTTAATTTTTTTTTGGTTCATTTTGCACTAACTTGACAAAACCCTTGCCTATTGAGACTAATTCTTTAATATTGCTATATAATAACTTATCATGTTCACCAAACACCCTCATTATCATGTCCCATATGTTAGTTCTGTTCTTTTCCAATTGCTATTTATGGAAAGTGTCTAGATTAGTGAGTAAGGCATATTTATGGAATGTAGAAATTGTCTTAAACACGATGGGGTTGTTTTTATGTCTAAATTCCCAATCTAGCACTATTCTATATTTAATAAATTTTCATAATTGTTCTAAAGATTAACTCCTGGGATTGGGGTGAAAGCTAAAAGTGCTCCTCAAGTTCCTATTTGTGTATCTGTATTTAGTTTGTGTCCAACTTAGGTTTAATCCTAAACTTTATACTTATATCCTCACATTAAGTCACTAGTATACTAAAATTGTGCTAAATTCCATTTGGCTCTATTTTTCATGCTAGTCCTAGCATTACGATGCTAGATGCTCTAGAATTATTTTTTTATTACTCTGTGCTTTTGCTTATTCATTCCTTGGGCTATACGTTTAGAAGTTGTTCTAAACTCTTGCTCTTTCACTCCTTGGGCTATATGCTTAGAAGTCGTTCCAAACTTCTATTCTTTCACTCCTTGGGTTGTACACTCATAAATCATATCATACTCCACTTCCTTTGCTCTTTGGCTTTATGCTTAAGAGTTTGGCTTCATCTTTTTATTTAAAGGTCCAAGGTGTGAGACACAAAATCCCTAGGCCCCAAAGTGGAGCCGGAAAGGGTGCCATGTAGTAGTGGCCAAAGCGAAAGCCCAAACGAGTGTAACACGTTTGGACTAAAAGCTCTGACTTGGAAGGTCGAGAGCGGGAGTGGAACTCCCAACAAAGTGCTCAAGGAGCGAGCACGAAGCGAGCAATAACCAAGGCTCCAAAAAGGGATCCAAAAGGGACCAACACATGACACGTGGAAGTGTTCGAGATGGAGTCCGAGACGGACCAAGACGGAGTCCGAGATGGACCGAGACGGAGTCCGAGATGGACCCGAAATGGAGTCCGAGATGGACCCGAGATGGAGTCCGAGAAGGAGTCCAAGGTGGACCGAGACGGAGTCCGAGATGGACCCGAGATGGAGTCCGAGATGGACCTGAGATGGAGTCCGAGGTGGACCGAGACAGAGTCCGAGATGGACCTGAGATGGAGTCCGAGATGGACTGAGACGGAGCCCAAGATGGAGTTCGAGAAGGACCCAAGATGGAGTCCGAGGTCAAGACCGAGACCGGGACCGAGACCGAGACCGAGACCGGGACCAAGACCGGGACCGAGACCGAGACCGAGGCCAAGGCTGAGACCGAGCCCGAGCCTGAGTCCGAGTCCGAGTCCGAGTCCGAGTCTGAGTCCGAGTTTGAGAGGGTGAAAGCCCAAAGCGTTCGTCTCCCAGACCCTGGGGGGTTTGGTGAGCTCCAAAAGTATAGTAAAGGGGGAGGACTGCAGTGGAGCCAGTTTGGCCAGAAAAGGCCAGTTTGGCCCAGGAAGGCCAGACCCAGTGTTGGGTGATGAGCTAACCACTGGGAAGTCCAAGACTAGAGTGAACATGGACCGACAAGCAGGGTAGCTTGGTGAAGTGTTCAAGAGCCAGCTCTAGTTCCCCTGGGAGATCGACTGGCCGATGCTCCCAGTCCAAGTGTGGGTGGCACTACCTACTTGGATACCAGGCGTGGCTCAACGGAACCTCGCTCTAAGCCCATGGCTAGAGCACCCAAGGGCGGAAGGTGGGGAGAGTACCCAGGAGGCTCACGTGAGGCCATGGTGTTCCGAAATGTTGTCCCCAAAGGCCCAGACTATGGAAAGGAAGAGAAGCAGTCCTCTGGGGTAGTGACCAAGGACACAGTCGTATGGTGAGGAAGTCCCAGAGGACCATGGGACTTAGTGGTCGGGCCTGTGGGCCTCAATCCAGTGACAGTGTTGGCAAACACGGCTAGGGGCAGAAAGGGACTTAGTGGGGACTGACAGAGGGATATTGGGGAAGGCTATTCCCCTTGTC